CCACCTTCACCTACAAATTTATTCAGAATAGGATAGATGATTATTCATACCTTGTTTGAGCAATCATTGTTGCCTGGAAGTGATATCTTGGCGTTTGAGTCTTTTTCCTTTAACGTCATGCTTAAAAGGATGCCAGCTTATATCAGTCTTATGATTGATAGCTTTAAATAAGGCTGTGGGGCTGTAATGTTGTGTGATCCATTATTTTGATGAATTATCTTGTCCTGCACTTCCTAGTCTTTGGTTCTTTTGATGTGCAAAAATAGATGAAGTCTGTTCCTTTGCTTTCTTGTTGCAGCCTCACTGGTCCACCATTAGATTTTATGTTGAGCTTTGTCCAATGACGGTGGCGTTCAATAGTGGCGAGTTGCTTTGTGTAGGTGACAGCAAACAGAATAGGAACCCCTCCGTTTTCTGGAAATGATGCTTGAAACTTGTAAATATATGATTAGGTATTGAAGAACGTACAAGCATAGTGCAATATGGGTTTGCGTAGCCATCAACAGAGAGCCAGAACTCACGACCCGGGACTCAGAACAGGGGCTTGCATTTGGTTGATCTTGTTAACATGTTAATATTGGAATCAAATGTTGATACTTTATGATCCTTATTTTTCAATTAGCATAGATGTGACAAGGTTGGAATGGGATTACTGTAGTTAACTAACCTTGTTTTGCAGCTTAATATACATCTATTATTTGGATTCTAAGAGTAGCGGGCAATGCGAGCTGAATTTCATGTTGGACTACCATGAATAACATAGATTGCCTTAACTCTGAACTTCTTGGAGAAAGAGCAGCTCAAGTTCTCATTGTTTTCAGTCAGTGAAAATGCATAGAATGGACAATGAAAGCCCCGTTGCAGTTGCTTGGTGCTTGGTTTGACCTAGCAATCACTTATTATTTGGTTCTCTTCATCAGTCTGTGTCATTGCGAGGGATTACCAACTTGGCTTAATTGCTGTAAGATTTTAAAAAAATCTAAATGACTATGAGATATGCAAATCATTTCAATGCAATTTGACGATGATTAAAGAGAGAAGAAACAGAGATAAGTAAATTGGGGTTGATTTGGTTGGAACCTAATGCTATGTTGGAGGGTTTCAGATGTAGGCTGTTCCTGAAATGAAACTTGATATAATTCTCCATGCTGGCAAACAAATCAGCACACAATTCAAGCAAAATAACAATTCTCAGCACATGATGACACACTAAGACATACGTGAGGATTGAGGTACGAATTGGAAAAGATAAATGTAAGACAATAATGCTCCTTGACTATCGCAAAAATGTTTAGCACAAACTACTTCATCATTGTTTCGGTTTCACTATAAACATCCCACAATACTAGACAGATTCTCACTGGAAAGGTCTTACTCGTGAAATCGGGACATAACAGGCTTCCAGTCCAGAGTTCCAACACTTTCTCTAAGCAACCAGAGCGCTTTGTCACGAGGTCATTACTCTCTCCCTCATAAACCGGCTTATAAGGGTGTGCAGCACACCCGCTTATAAAGAGCTCAGGACCTCCCGTTCTTGTCTGATGTGGGATAAATGTACTTTTCTTGTGATACTCTCACCCACCCAAATCGGCAACGCCCCTGTTGCCGTCGATCACCCTGTCTATCCCGTTGGGTCCCACTGGGCCAGGCGCTTGGCATGGTCAGAACGAGGATCGGTCTGCTCTGATACCATTTTGTCACGGAGTCATTACTCTCTCTCCCGTAAACCGACTTATAGGGATGTGCAGCACACCCACTTATAAAAAACCCAAAACCTTCCGTTCCTGTATGATGGATAGAGGCGATAGCTTGCCGTGGTTGACTTGCTGCAGAGAGAGGATAAAATAGTGAACAATCATGTTGGAGAAAGGAAAATGGTAAAGCTTCAATTGACAGACAAAGATGCAAAGAACTAATTATTTCCAAACAGGAGGGAGCTTCTTGGTCTTCTTGTAATAACGAGCGAGCCGGTGAATTCTGCTCTTCACAAGAATCAACCTGAACTTGGAATCTTTATCCTTCCTATTCCTCTCCGAATGCATCCGAATCGCCACCGCCTTCTTTATCAAATGGTAAAGATCTTCAGCAATCTCCGGCGCCAATCCTACCCCAATTTAACAATCCTCAAACGCATAAATACCACTGCAGATACAACATTTTCGTATCTGAAAAGAAAGGAAAAGTTTTTCCGTAAGCTTTGAGAATGAGCAATACCGTGAGAGTCAGGAAGGATGACACCAATTGTGATGGAGTCAAGCCTTTCTTGGCAAATTTGCAGATGTTTTCGTCCACCTGAATTTCAAAAACAAGTTAGAAATCGAGGAGAATAAAAAGAAAGGGAAAAATGGGATTATTTTCGTTTATTTAGTTATAGGCGTTTACGTCTTGAGAGGAGATTTTGAGCCAGGTGGGAGGGGTGCGTCTGTAGGGTAGTGCAGACTCTGAAATACCCTTCCTGTTACAACAAAAAAGACCGGATGAGATTTAGCGTTAAATAATTAGTTTTAAGTGAGAGATTAAGTGAAGAGAGTTAGCAAGTGCGGGGCTGACCCGCGACTATGCATGCGACCCATGGTGACTAGTTATGGAGAGGGCGGGGGGCGGGGGGCGCTTGGGTTGCGTTTCGGAGGCCGACAATCCAGAAGCACGAAGTGTAACCCTATCATTCAAGTTGGGGTCTATATACCTAGGAAAGGGTTTTCAACTTTCAGGGATAAGCTGTTAGTCAGCAACGTCGTTTAAGTTTAGATCCATGCTTTTGCATGATAAATTGTCAAACTTTTTACGAACACATTTTCTTATATTTTTGGTATTCGGTTTTCTCTTTGAGACAAGTAGGATGGAAATTCCTTCATAAAATTATAAACAAAAATTAAAAGAATGAACAATCTATTGTAACGGGTACAATCTATCTATTTCGAAGGATGGTAGTTATCAGATCCTGCAGGATTCAAAAGGTCCCAGATGCACAACATATTATTTGAATTCAATAAAAGCAAGAACTTTGAAATAATGCAACAGGTAAGACATTTTGAACGGAAACCACAGGTTGGTCTGCAACAATTGCTTGTATGAACAACAACGATGAGAAGAAAGTGCTAATTTATGGTCTATTTTACACCA